TAGAGGTGACCCTCTGCACCACCTCCTTGTTGGAAGGACTAGATATAGCACATAACTGTTTCTTATGGAAACTGGCTGGACTGGGTGCCTCTCCGGTCTGACGTCCCAGAGCTTTTCCAACTGCAATTTCTGGGGCAGCTCATGCTACTTGGGGCTGGTTTGAAGGGCACCTAGCCCCCCATGCTGTCCCTGCAGAAGACCACAGAGCATGCCAGCCTGGTCACTGCCTGTAGAGTTGTCTACTTGCAGCCTCCCAGCATCCGCAGTCGTTACACGGAAGACACTAAAGAGTATATCTGTATTTATTTCTGCTAATATCTGATATGGACTGGTTGTTCATGGTCATCAGGCTTACTCTGCCACCATCATGTCTTGCAGGAGTAAGTACCTGGAGAGTGTGTGTGGTTTTTCAAGTGTGACTGAGAGAGAAGAAACCCTCATTTGTCCCAAATCAGAGTGTCTCCTAATTCTAGTGTGGAGTGGCTTGTTGAACACCAGTTGTGCTGCTGCCTTGTTCAGAACCCTTATGGTAAGGCAGCTGCTGCATTCCTTTAATCAATTTAGTTGCCCATCTGTATGTGTTCTCCAACTCCAGTGCTTCCTCTAGGGATGTGGAGAACAACTGCACGTGCCATCAGGACACGAGTGTAGCAAGGCTTTACGCAGTGGCAGAACTGGTAAATAATCATGCTTTACTCTTCCCCCACTGGTCTACCCTCAACACCAAGCCAAGCTTCCAGACATATTTCAGAAGCAATTTATTTCGTAATTCCATTTGTTAGCTACGAGTGCTCTCCAAGGTTGTAGATTTTAGCATTAAAATAAAGCAGTTGATTTATAATATCACAGATTGAGAATGAAGATACAAAGCAGAGAAACCAGAACCCTTGAGAATGTGTTTACTTTCTAGCAGCGCTTGGTGGTATTTCCATAGGACACTGGTCATTAACTTCTTACGAAAAAGAAAACAATCACTAGGGTACTGGAGGTGTCTCTCTTCTATTTTCCTTGGAACAAAACAATTGATTCCTTTCAATCTAATTTTTGTAGGTAAATTCTGTTGCATGTTTATGAATCTTTTTCAAATATCCAGGAGATTTTCTGTCTCTAAAAGAGTCCTTATAAAAATTCAGCTAGTCTCTGTTGGTAAGAAGTGTGGACTTTAAAAGTAAGTTAATTGTTTCCAATATGTACGTCTTTGAGGAGCAAGGAACACCGCTAGTCCAAAAGGGAACTTCCCTGGATGTTTAAATGATATAAAATATGATTTATCTCCAGTACTTCCTTAAAAAATAATACAAAAACGAAGCTTGAACTGATCTATCTCTAGAGGAGGTCATTGCTTCAAGCTAGGTCTGAGGGAGGTTTACAACACACACAGTTGGTGATCCATCTGCCCTCTGAGATGAAGATGCTCGTTGTCAGTCCCATGTTAAGTCTACTTAAAATAGTGCTACCAAAACACGTTGCTCCTATTTTAGCAGGATGTGAAGAGCCATTGCAGACACGTTTTACAAGTTGCTTTGGCTTGCTGATGGAAGTGGATATTGTCTAGCTGGTTTATCTCTTGACTCAATAGCCTTTTAGACAAAAAGAATAAACTATTTGCTATTACTCTATTACACGTTATCGTTGTGCTAACGATTAATTCACTGTCACTGTAGAAATGCATCACCTGCAAACCAAAATGTCATCTTTCTTCAGAGCTAGTGCTGTTGTGTCTTTTGACAAATAAAATACAACTAAGTTCTCTTGCAAATTTTCATACAAATAAGCTCTTTCTTATGCACAAGCTTACGTGGAAAATAAGCCTTGCTTAATACTAAGAGTATTTAGAAGGCTTGAAGGAAAAAAGCACGAAAATAACTGTTGCTATGCAAGTGGGCTGTTTGTCCTAATCCTCATTAATCCAGGGGAGACAGAGTTTTGCCATTAGAGCTTTGCCATTATTAGGAATAGTTTTATGTGGTAAATAATCCACATGATTAGCTACTTAGGTTTTAGCAGGCTATTTACAAAGAAAACCATGAACCATCTGACTGGTAGAAAGTGAGAGGACCAGGACCATGCTTAGATGATGGAGACCAAGGTGCAAGTGTGCATTAGTCTTGTGTTGGGTTTGCCTGCCTCTCTTGCAGCTAACAAACCTCCATACAGGTGGTGGTTTATTTCTGCATCTGTTTTCTCCCTGCAGTGTCTTTTGCTGTTTGAAGGTCACAGGTCTGGCAATCAAATCATTGGTTGATGCTTTTTATTAATTTTTTTAATGGTGTGTTAACTTTTGTAGACATCTTGAAATACTCATTTGTTATGTCTACAGCATGTTTCTATTTAAAAAAAAAATAAATAATTGAATTAATGCTAGAGTAGCAAACCCACCCCAGGTGAGAGAGGTTCTATTCTCTTCTAATAACTTGGCTTTTTACCAGACATTGTAATGTATTTTTTTTTCTTCAGCAGCAGAAGGCTAAGGGTATAAATTGAAACCAAGTAGATGAATCGCTGCCATCAGTTTACCTGAATCCACAGGGCACTGAGCAGGAGCTAAGACAGCCATTCAATTAAGATTGCAGTACAAGTAAATCCATTGTGTTGTTATAGATTATAAAATTCTTCCATCGAATGAGGTGAGCTGACAAGACAGTCCTGAACGGTGCTTTCATCCTGGTTTTATAAAAAGTGATTAGACTGGGGTAGATCTGGAGTGAGGGAGAGCAGCCTGGCTGCTTAGCTGACTCCTTCCCCTCTCCTATTTTTATTTGAATAGATGGGTGCTTGCTTCCTTTATTCTGAAGCCGTAAGCACGTTCCTTTTCTTTGCCTTTTTAGGGGCTTGCGATTTTGCAGGCTTGACCCGACTAGCTCGTTTCTCCTCTAGCAAGCAAGTGATGGTGAGTGGGCCCATCTCCTGCCACTGCTTCGGAGAAGTTTAGGCTCCTGAGTTGAAAGGCCAAGCTACAAGCTGTTTCACTGAATTATTTTATACTGTCAGACTGCGTATCAACAATCCTTCCTCTCCGTCGTTTAAAAATAACTTGATGGTACCTCCTTTGCAAGGACTTGAAAACTCTGGCATTTAAATTTATCTTCCCTTGAAAGCATTGCAGTGCCTTCAACTTCTCAGCTATGTTGAGGGGTAGAAAACTCTAGCTGTTGTAGCTATGGGGGCAGCCCGAAGAGCCCTCTCTTCTTGCAATTGATTTAATGCTTTCTAATTGTAGAAAGGTACCTTAAATACTCCTGCTGTCAGGATTCTTCAAGCTATACGAATGTGAAACCTGATTAGTGTAAACTTGGTTTTCCCTGCTGCCATTCAGAACTTGCTGCCTAGTTCACAAATGCTGTGGCTTTTTTTTT